ATAGGGATATCTTGTGGTTAGGCACTTGCTTCCTTAAAACCTGGCTGTTCCGACAGGCCTGGGGCTAAAGAGCTTTTGCCCCCCCCCCCTCCCAAATGGATGGGTTGTTGTGGGCTTTTAAATTGTGTATTGTTATGTTCGTCTTTTTTATCCCTTGTTTGTACCCCCTTCCCTGACTTGGATTGTGAGCCGCCCTGAGTCCCCTTCGGGGAAAAGGGCAGCATATAAATGCAATAAATTCAAATTCAAATTCAAATCATCCCTGCCAAAGTGAGCCAATTTGGTCAAGAACTAAACGGTGTTATTACAATGGAGGTCAGGTGTGGCTTTCAACTTGGTGGGAATGACATGAGAAATATTTCTGAAGTCTCCCTGCTCAAAGGAAACAGCTATACTAAGCTAAGTATTTCCTGCAAATTAGCCTCCTTCTAGGCTGGGTTCACAGGTGAGAAAGAAGGTAGGATTGTTGCTTGTTTTAAGAATGGTGTAAAAACATCTTTTGTTCTACAATCAGTTCTGACCCTTCAAGGATAAGGATCTCTTTCTCTTTTGCATGTAGCTCCTTTGCACTGCAAATTGCACTGCAGAGTTAAGTAGAGCTGGTCAGCAGCCTATGCTTAATTCAATAGAGTTTTACTCCCAGGTAAGTCTGTATAGGATCACAGTCTGCACAACATTCCTGGATTGCCTCTGTAAGCACTGATGAAGTCTGGGGGAAAATATATCCCACTCAGTAACTCTCAAATAAACAATCTGGAAGCAAATAATATGTGGAAGGGAGTACAGAGACCATTGGAATGGTATCTCTGGGACAATTATGCCAGAGAGTTTCCACTTACGCAGCAAACCTTGGCATTTTGCTGTTAAATAAACAGGAATAACACTGCACAAGAGAGGATTGTTTTCACAAAGCCCAAACCATCTCCATTTCTTTATGACTTTTAATTTCGGTCTGAGTGCAGGCATGATCAGGCTGTGGATGTGGGGAGAAAAACAGATCTTGGTTAGAAGAAAAAAGCCTTGCTCCCAGTTATTACCATCTCCCTTTGCCCTCGTTGTAGGGCTGGGTGTGTATTAAATCTGCCAAGGACTGGAAGAGAAATATACCGCAGTTACAATATCTGTGAAAGTGAAGCTCCAAGGAATTGCAAGGCTGATTCTGATAAAACCTTTGTTATTTAGTTATGCTCATTGCTGCTTGGTTCACTTACTCTGAATTAGCTCGGATGAAAAAAAAGGGGGGGTTGCGTGTATGAAGAAATCAGAGAGCATGATTGTCATGCCAAAGAGGACAGGGCTCTCCTACCTTTAATAACCAGGCAGAGGAGGAAAGTTTGAAAGGTGCTGCTTCTCCTGAGAATTATACCTTATCCATAGCAATAACTCTGCCACCACGTCTCTGCCACTCTTGATGCCCCTCCCTTCCAAAGAAAAGGCCTTTATGATGAATGTGACAACTGGGGACTTTCTTCTCTTATTTCAGGAAGGCACATGGCAATAATGAGATTTGTTATTCTTTTGATAAAGCCTATAGGGGTACACAATGCATGGCTTTTATACTGTGGAGGTAGATTAACCCAGCTTTCCTCAATGCGCCATCCTTCAAATGCTTTGGGAGAAGATATCCTGATGTCATGATATGCTGGCTAGGAATTCTGGGAACTGTAACCATCAACACATCAGATTGGGCAAGATCTGCTCTTGCACACCTACCACAATCTTACCTAATCCATCTCTGTCAAATGTGTATCATGGTCTCAAACTTCTAAAATGATCTAAGATTACACGATCCTTCTAAATAATAACAGTAATAACAAAGACTCAGCAGTGGATATGTTCAGAAACACTTGGAGTTTTCAACAAAAGCTGGCAATTGGCCACCGAAGGGCTAACAGCACAGCAACATAAACCAACTTGGATTTAAGTCTAATTTTTCGCTTGCAAGGGGGGAAAAAAGATTGGAGCATTCTTGCTGCAACTTTCACATGGCAGTAATTACCATCAAAGACAATAAAAGTTTTCATTTATTCAAGTAACCTATACAGAAGCTAACAGCAGCATGTACTTATTTGTGTAGTACAAACACAATCAAAAACAAATGAGAGATGCAATGATGTGTAGCAAGGAAAATGTTTCAAGTCAGATTCAGACATGTTTTTACTCCAGAATGCTCAATCCCATTTTATATCCCCTTTAGTGCTTCCTTCCCTCCCCATAATCAGAATTTCTTACCCATTGAACACCCATAATCTTCATAGGACTGTTGGGAAGAATTTCTTTCTTATGGCCCTCCTCCCCAAATACTTTTCCAGTTTCTATTAAATGTTGCCTTCCCCTAAACTTGAAAATTCCTCTTTTCCTACCGATGCCCTTTTCATTGCCATTATTTTGATGATAATATACATGTAGCTTGAAATGAAAGGTTTGGGGAAATTACGATTGCTATACCATATATATGTAACAGAATGAGCCCCACCAAAGTCAGCAAATCTTATTTCTAAATAGATATAGAGATATAAAATAGATCAGAAGTTGCACCTTTAAGGTTGAAAGAGGCATATTTAGAATTCCGGAATGTGTTTCTTATGTTGCAGTGAAAGGCAATCGAATGAAATATTCAACTGAAATGCCTTCACATGTAAAATTAAAAAATATGTTAAGAGCCTATCCAAACATCCCTTCTCATGCCAGTAATTCAAATGCTTATGGATGGGAAGATGTCTCTAGTTCTTTTTTCACCGGGTTGATAATTGATAATGTACCTGCTTAATGACTCCCTTAGATTAATATATATGTGTGATATGCTTAAACCAGATATTTGCACAGTAAAAGGTCTTTTTTCTTTAAAAAAATTCACATTCTTTCATGGGTCCCCACCTCTTTTTTATTTGAACCGAGTTCTGATCCGTAGTAATAAGCAATTAAATACCATAAGTCAATTGTAGTTGTTTCTGTGGTCATGGAGTAAAAATTGAATTGTTTCCTCTTTATGGAATACCATTATATCCCCGCCACGTGTTTCCTTTTTGGATCAAGACAAATGAAGTATTAAGTGAAACACACCTCCTGGTTCTTTTATCCTTACCTTTCTTTCAAAATAAAAAGTAAGCTATTTCAAGACAATCATGCCTGTGACCCAGTGATCCTCCAGCTGTGATTTGTAACCCAATAATTCATGTCTAAATTCACATAGCTAATGCTGAATGAAGACCTATACTGTATATTGTTGATGTAAGTCTTGTAAGCCAGGTTGGTAACCCATTCGGTTTTAATTTAGAACTTTTTTCAGCGAGGGAAAACCTAGGCTGATAGATTTTTCCTGTATAAGTTCTGGTGGCAAACTTTTTTTTTTTTTTAAAGACAGCTCTGCATATACTAGGACCACCCCTACTACTAAAGTATTTTCAATATATTAAAATTAATATTGGTTTACACATTGTACTAAGCCTGGGTTTGTTTTGACTAAACTTGAATGAATAAACTACTGTGCTTGTGTAACGCTGAAGTTTGAAGTTGACCATCAAGAATTAGCACTTGAGCAAAAGGGAAAGGAGGCAAGCTAATTATCCGATTAATCTCCTTTGCCGTGTGAAGCTATATTATATTTCTCTTAAAATTATTCAATTTGTACTAAGATCATTTTTTTCCTTAGGTAAGCTGATATAGTAGTCCTTTGATATTAGTCTAGATATTTTCCTCTGGAAAACACAATTAGCTTTGTTTGATTTCGGCTTTTCTGTAATTTTCTCCTTTCTGAATTTATATTCCTACCTATGGATTACCATTTACATTATGCAAATGTTCCCTTATGAATCAGTGATATATTCCCTCTCTTTTGGAGATGGGACCTGCAAGGGACTATCTCAGTGGGGGTGGGGAATCACTTTTATTCCTGCTTTGAGTATGGAGATGCTTGAAACTTTTTATATATACTTATTTAGATATACATACATACCTATATATTACAGAAAATAGCATCCCAGCTCACCACAATGACCATAGGAAGCATACAGCCTAGAATGCCAGTTTGGTGCAGTGGTTAAGATGATGGCCCAGAAACCAGGGGACTGTGAGTTCTAGTTTCACTTTAGACACGGCAGCCAACTGGGTGACTCTGGGTCAGTCACACTCTCTCAGCCCAACCCACTTCACAGGTTTGCTGTTATGGGGAAAATAGGAGGAGGAGGAGGAAGCATTGGGTATGTTAACTGCCTTGAGTTACCTATAAAGTAACAAAAGCTGGATAAAAGAATTAATAAACAATATAAATAAATACAGAGTAAAAAAAAACCCACCCCAAAATAGCTGCATTTATTTTTTTTAAAAAATACAATAATAAAGGAATAATATAGCATATGTCTGGGGTTGAAAACTAATTCCATTTCTAGTCAGTAAAATTGTTACTAAGCAATCCAGACAGTGTGTGGGGGTGGTGGTGTCATGTAATCTCTCACCCCAAACACCATGGAACTTGTAACTCTTTAATGCCAAAACCATCCAAATCTCTGGGGACATGGTGCTCCGTAGGGCAAGCATAATGAAAGAGAAGGCATGGCTTCTAGATCCCACAAGATGGCACTTGGCTAATAGTCAGGATAGACCTGGAATGTGCCTGCTGGTTTTGGTGGGACAAGCAAGGCAAATAGACATAGGTAGTCCCACAAGTAACTTGGCCCTCAGCCACAGATAGCTTTGTAGGACATAAGCAGCATTTTGAATTGTGTTTGGAATCCCACTGGGAGTCAGTGCAGCTTCCAGAATTAGTGGAGATACCCTCAGGGAGAGAGAATCCCACAAATAACCTGGTCCTGTGCCATTGGGGACTTTAAAGCTAATAACCAACACCTTCAATCACTCCTGATAAAGAAATTGGAAACCTGCACAGCTTATCCAGCAGTGGTGTAATATGGGTGAACCGTAGGGTACCCAAAACTGTGTGTTCTACCAATTACTGTCATACATATAATGCATTGCAGTAATCCAACTGGGAAACGGTGACCATGAATGAGTAACCATGAGCATGACTTCTAAGTCCAGGAATGGGTCCAAGTGGTGCGCAAGATGAATCTGTGTGAATTGCTCACTAGCTCTGTCCTGAGAAGTGCAACCTTTGACAAGAATCAAAGATGGTACCTCACGTAAACCAGAGAGAACATACACACAGACAAAATCCAGATCCACTCAATTTTGCTGGGGTTTATTTTTCACCCTACCTTAATATTGTGGTGCACATTTGCACCACTGAGGATCCAGCAACACTTTCTAGGAGTGCAACTGGAAGAGGTGATCCAGGGCTGCTTGATAACCAGGCCCCATGCAGTCCTGAGAAGGTGCAGCCAAACTGCGATCAATCTTTACTACAAATCTAATTTATCTCTCTTCTCAATGGATTTTCAGCCATGGCCAGAGAGAATTGTGTTGCCTGAGTTAGAAATAAAACATGGGCCAAATTATTTCTGTGCCTGAGACAGAAACCTCCTGAAGCACCTGTCTCTGGATGTAGTGGGGTAAAGATAACAATATAAGAAATAATATGCTGCTCATATATAACACCAGGTGTTGCTCTACATCTAGCTAAAACTGAATTCAGACAGGAGAAATAAGAGCCAACAGTCAATTCTGTAAGCAGCCATGGAAAACAAGACCTCGGTTTTCCTTGTAATTTATCAGCAAGATTCCATTATCAGCAACCTCTCATTTGTTTTCTAGACAAATTGAGCTTGAAATAAAAGCTTTGAAGTCTGTTATTTAGTTATGAGAAATATTTCTGTACTTGTCATCCTGTTGAACACTCCCAAAACATTTCGCAAAACGATGAAATAGTTCTGAAATAAATAATGTAAACATGGCATGATAAAACAGAATAAACTTCCCTACGCGTAATAGTACAAAGATGTGTTACAAAAGATGCTGTCCATGGATTCTTTTATGATTTTTGTGGGTCTCATCACACAATGAGACAAATAATCAGTGTGCAAATGGAAAAGAGGTTTTTTTTCTTATGTTTGCCTCCTTGCGAAAATTCCCAGACTAGTTTATTTCTTTGTTTCAATGGGCAGGAAATATATCTAAATGTGGTAAAGTCTGAAGGTTTAGTTCTGCTCGTCTCTGTTTTAAAATAAGTCTGAATTCTGATTTATTTTTGAATTTAATCTAACATTTTGTTCTGTATACGGTGGGAGTACTGAAAATCCATAGGAAAAGATCAAAAGGAGATTCAGCTACAGAATTTTAGAATACATCTTAATCTTGTCAGTTTATTCTGTTTAAAATATGCCTGCTATCAAAACTCTGTGCAGTGAGCCCCATCTTAAGAGTCACCCCCAGTTTTCTGTCTTGAAGTGAAAAATTCCTTCCCTAAGACGATGCCTAGTCTCATTCAGTGCCCTTCTAAAAATCAGTCTACTTTTTGTACTCGGAACAATTACGCTCATCTTTTTTAAAGGTCTCTTTTGCCCAGAAAACTTCTCTGTTTGGATAAATGTGGATAAACATGTTTCCTGCTTAACTGGCATACTAATTTTCTTTTTGCTTTATTCAAAGAATGAGTTAGCAGTGACCATCTTAAATTCAACATTCATTTAATGGCTCTGCTGTAACTCTGTTCTTTTTTGTGATCTCTTTGTTAGTTGCCTCTAATTTTCCATGCACTTTCCCTTTGTACTCTGTTAATAAGTTCAATTGACTGGGGAAAACCAATAGATGAAGCGTCTGGCGACCAATGAAGCAACTGACCATTCAAGTAATTAACCTAGATTTTTTTTTAAATTCATGCAACACCAGCCAGGCATTTGTCTCAGATCTTCACCAGCAATCAGAAACCCTGAAATTGCCCTGAAAAAGAGATGCACCAGCTTCCTTTTTGCATGCTAAAAACCAGCAGCAAGGAGGCAAATAAGCGGTCGCATCTGCACCACCTTTCTGTTTAAACCCTGCAAAGCATAATATCCAATGTGGCCAGAAGCTTCAGTCTAAGCTGCTGGGCAGAGATATACATAATACATAGAGCCTGCAAAATGATTTTTTTTTAAAATGAAAATAAAAGCAAGGAAGACCAAAAGCAAATGACATGTGCCTAATATAATCCATTGAACTCAGCCCTGAAGGAGGAATGAAATCCATTTGATGAAAGTTTTATGCTTTTTTTTTAGCTCCCTCCTAAAGCAAATGTTCAATGCTGGATGGTGTTTTTTTTAACCCATGTGTACTGTTGAGAAGCCATTGAAGGGCTAACATAGGTCAATTCACGAATAATCCTGATCGGATGATGCCGTATATCACGCACAGCCAATTTGAAATGAGTCTGTCCCACCCTCACAAGTCTATCTGAAATGGAAAGATTATCAATGAATTATCTTTTCAACCTGTAAATCCTGGAAACGGACCAGATTAGCCTTCTCCACACTGCTACCCTCCAGATGTCGGACTTCAACCCCAGCCTCATTAGAGGATGACATTTGAAATCTAGCACATCTGGAAAGCACCGAATTGCTGGAGAGCTAGATAGATGGAAGGCTATGAGAAGACGAGCAGCAGTAATTTTTATAGTAACAATAGACTCAGAAGGAATGAAGGGTGAGGATGATTATATTTTCTGAGTTTCAGGGTTTGTGAAGGATTTGGATTGTTCTACTTTAATTTGTTGGAACTCCAACACTTATGGATGCTTGATTTGGGGATGGTTTAGAATTAATGAGAGAAACCTCTTTTTAAAAAGTAGGTTTGGACATGAAATAGAATCCTTGTGGATTTTGCTTGTTTATTCAATTTATGCCCACTCCAATTTCCAGATTCTCAAACTGTTTATGCGATTAAGTCCTTGGCTTTAGTGATCTCTCCATGACATCACCAGGAATCAAGCTCAATTGAAAAGAGATATTACATATACCTCACCTGAAAAACATTTATAATACATGCTACTTAATAGTAAATGCATACATATGGCTGAATCAGAAGTTCATATTTTACAAGATCAAATCATCAAAAGTTTTAAAAAGTCTAATCCATGCCATGCAAATAAAATAGAATTATGCAATTTACTTGCAGTTACACATAATTTATTTGCAGGGTACGGGTAGGTCCTTGGTACCTGTTATTTGAGTCTTTGGGACCTGAATGTTTTTATAAGGCAGCTGATTGCAATCCTGTAGATAGTAGAAGTCAATCCTATAGACTTCAGTGGCACGTGATTCTTAGAAGACAAGCGTAGGATCACATATTTATCATAGTAACATTCCGAGTTCAAAGATAGAAAATAATCCCCTTCACATATTTCAATATCCCATCATGCTAATGGCTATATTCTAAAGATCAGGGGGAGGGGCTACAGTTCCCTACCCCTGTGCTGTACCCCAGACTTTCACCTTGAACTTTGTGGAATGTCTTCGCTCATATCTAAGTCTGCTGAGATTTGTCAACAATTATCATTCTTTTCTCCCATTAGGCTCGGAATCGAAAATGCGGGAGGTTTGTGCTGGTTGCAACACCCCAATCTCAGATCGCTTCCTGCTGCGGGTGAATGAGCGCTCCTGGCATGAGGGCTGTGTGAAGTGTGCTGCTTGCCTCCAGCCTCTCTCAGGCACATGCTATTGTCGCAACAGGCAACTCTACTGTAAGCATGACTATGAAAAGTAAGTGCCAGAAATTTGTCTGTCTGAATGATTAGCTTACGTATTTGCCTTTGTAAGAAATTCGCCAACTGAGAGAAAAGGAAGACTGTTTTCAAAGATGATTGTGAAGGGATGTATTTATGGTCTATACGAATATATGTGGGTGTGCATCCATCTATCCAGACATACACGCTTACTTACAAGTGAGTTGACTGGTTGGTAAGTTGGCTTCAGTTGTCACCAATATCATAGGAACAATTTTCAATCTACATTAGCAGTAAACAGTTATTTGATGTCATAAGAGAAATTTGCAGAGGTTGTGGTGTCATCAGCTGTCAGGCATGCAGTTGTAATGTCACAGATGAACAGAGCAGCTTATTGTCGAACACAGATTGGACAACTAAAAATTGGAGAGGCAAAAACCACAGGGTCCTTTTGGTCACATTTGAATATTTGTACAATGACATACTGTTGGTGGAAATCTGAGTGATTCTGGCATCTTTTTGACCTGTTATGTATGATATAAGTGTTCGTTTTTGTTACAATCTTTTCTTATCTAAGGACCATAGTTCTCTGAGGGATGAAGACTTCTAATGAATGAGTTTACTGTCATGTGAACAGATTGTTAACAGTGTGTTGCTATCCATTCTTAGATGGAATTTAATGAAAGCTGTGTACTAGTTTTTCAGCGGCAAGTGAAATCTGAATTCTGGAAACAGAAAAGCCCGGTTTTGAGACAAGAATATATTATGAGTAATAAGAGACACTGCAAGAGTTAGCTTATTTGGCGCTAATTTATTCTTCTGTGTTGAAGATGGGTTTGAGAGGAACTGTTTGGCAAGTGAACAGGATTGCTTAGAAAGTTATTGATAGAATGTAATGTGTGGATCTCAAGTCAGTAATGCAATGCCACTACAGTTAGCATGAAGGCAGTAGTTGTTAAAATATCACAGTTGATGTTGATGTTTGATGTTTAATAAATTTATAGGCCGCCCAATCCCGAAGGACTCCGGGCAGCTTACAACAATACATTTAAAAATAGAAGTTAAAAGCACAAAAACATAGATTAAAAAGACCACAACATACACCCAGTCTGATCGGGGCTGGAACTCAATCGTGAGTTCCACAGCCCAGGGCCTGCCAGAATAGCCAGGTCTTAAGAGCCTTACGGAAGGCCATGAGAGTGGGTAGGGTCCGGATCTCTGGGGGCAATTTATTCCAGAGGGTTGGAGCGGCTACAGAGAAGGCCCTCCCCTGGGTAGTTGCCAGCCGACATTGTCTGGCAGACAGCACCCGGAGAAGGCCCTCCCTGTGCGATCTTATTGGTCGTTGGGAAGTATGTGACAGAAGACGGTCTCGCAGATATCGAGTTGATATCTGAGCAGCTAGAGACTAGAATTAGAAAGAAAAAAATCAGACAAGATATTAAGGTTTTTTTTTCCCCTGGGAGATAAAAATATCTGAAATTATAAATTATAAAGAAAGTGCAAAGAAAGACCTACGTGTATGCAGTAAATGCTCCTCCTCCTCCTCCAAGACAAGCACTAAGTTTCCTATATCTTATTAATTTCATTGATTGTTATTGGCTTGAGAGCATGATGCTTGAGAAACATCTTTTCCATAAAGAAAGTATTAGGTTCTCTTCTGGAAAATACTCTCCGGGGTAAATGGGACCCATTTTGGGGGTTGCCCCAAACCTGACAACTGTTTTTTTTTTTTTTGCCTGCCTGCCTGCTTGTCTGCCTACCTGCCTTCCACTCCTAGTAACTACTAGAAAAATCCTTGCAGTTTGGTTGGCAAGATTTCAGAAGTGCTTTGCCATTGCCTCCTTATTAGGGCTAAGAAAGAGGGGATGGCCTAAGGTCACCTAGCTGGATTCATGCCTACAGCTGAACTAAAACTCAACGGTCCTCCAGTTTCTAGTCTGATACCTTAACCACTACATTAAACTGGCTCTGCAATTCTTTGCTGATTACTAAATGCATCGATTAGGTTTAAGTACATAATTTAGATCAGTGCTTCCCAATATTTTTCCTTCATTACCCAAAGCTTCTTATCAGAGAGTCATTTTTACCCAATGTAAGTACAACTCTTTAAGTCAGTTTAAATATACCTGTTGTGATTGGGTAATAGTAAATAATAAATAATAAAAAACCATTATCTAAAGAAAAATTGCTTTTACCCAACTTGGAGTAATATGTCCATGTTTTGGAAACACTGGTTTAGAGGACTTTTTCCCCCAATCGCAGTTGTGTTGATAATAGAACATTTGTCTACATAGTTGAAAGGCTTTTTAAACTTGTGTGAGACAATCTATTTGATCTCATAATAATAGAAATATTACATTGTTGACTTACCTTTTAAATCACAACCAATTTTGTGAATGAGAAAAAAAATGTTTCACATTTGATTATGTTTTCCTAATGCTAATTTCTCCACCTTTCCCTCAGGCTATTTTCTCCATGTTTTCCTAATGCTAATTTAACTAGATTCTGTGCCTCAGATTCCCAACAACTTCACAATTATTTTAAAATTCAACTTTCTTTTCCCTCGACTAAAACTACTACTACATCCCTGACATGAATTCCTCAGGCTTTTGTCTCCTTTCCAAAAAAAAAAAAGGTCCAGTGTTGTCTGTGTGTGCCTACATTACATTTACTCCGCAATTTGCATTAGAAAAGTGAAGATGAAAAGGAAGTTTAACCTTTTCCCTACCAGTAGCTTCCCATTTTTCACAAATCACCCTCACCTCCAGCTGCTTTTAATTTTGCCAGTGTCTCAGCCTTATGTCTACCTTGCAAACATGACTCCAAATACCTGAACTAATAAAGGAAACAAAAATTGAGTGGACAGCATTGAAGTTCCTTTTATGCCCATGCAAATCTTTTCCTTCTGAAAGTAATAAATAGGCAAGAAGAAAATAATAATCATTTTTATTTATATGCTGTCCAGATCCCAGTTAGGGAACAAAAACCCTTTAGCTGCTTTATTACAGCCAATTGCAGAGGATTATACAAGTTTACTCCTGGTATAACGGTGTATGCAAAATGCGTACTTTTATCATTTTTCATGCCCGCTCCCTTCTTTGGTGATATTAAATGCCAAGTTTCTCTACTCAGGTCAAAAGAGAGAGAAAGAGAGTACAAAGAAGATATGACTTCTCTTGTAATAGCCTGCCATAAAAAAAGCTTAAAGTGGTGTTAATTTATGAAATTCTGAAATAGAATAAATGAGTCTAGAGTAATCCAAGATTACACTGTTTAGAATAAAAACTGATCTGATTATCAGCATTCTTTGTAAAGTCTAATTCTGGATATTCTCAGAACATATATTGTGATTAAACATTGCTCAGCTGTTGCGTTTAGTATATTGTAATTAACTGACCATGATATTTGGCATTTCATGAAAGTTAATAGTGTTGGATTATTTAATATATATAAAAGATGAGCAGGCTGAGCTATAAGGCAGAGTTAAACATGTCATCAGTTTAGAATCTTTGGGTTCCCATAAGAGATCTAACTCCTAATTCTGTTAAGAATTATCTAGCACCAATTTAGCATTGACCATTAGTTAACCAGTTTTTGGGTACAGGTAGCATTAATGAACTCTCTAGTATTCTGAACTCAGTAAGTGTTCCTGGTTCTTTTCACCTGATATAATAATGTTGATTAGCAGCTCAATGTACTTATTATTTGGCATGAAATCCCATGTAATGGTGACATATAATGGCAACTAATGTTTAATAAAATTTCATAGTAAATATGCAATAATATTAAATCTTGATTGATGTCAGCCAAACCGTGCTGAATATCATCAGAACTAAAGTTTATTAACTGTCTATTTTGTGATGAAGCTGTACATTCTATATGCACACGAAGTTTTTTATTTTATTTAGAAAGTTATCTTTCAAAAGTTGTTTATGGAAGTCAGACGTTTCCATACATATCAAATATTTGCAAATATTCATTTTTGTTTTGACTCATAGATCTTTATTGTTAGATATGGGAACTTTATATGTCCCATATCTAAATTCATTTTCTACCAATGTTGGTTTTCATTAACAGTGCTAGCAGTTTGTACAGTGATATTGTTAATTGAATTGCTTTATCTGTAAATAAATGTATCAATTTATCTGTGCAGTGGATAAAAAGAAATTCATGTGAACAGTACCATTTAGAGAAGAGTGCAGAAAAAGTATTGAAAATAATATTAAATATGTACGCTTGAAATTATTTAAACACCTTAAAGATCAGTTGTGTTAAGATTTCCATTGACTAGATGCAAAGTGTTAGTGTCCTAACTGCAAAAGCAGATTAAAATAAAAATAAACAATGCAGAATAAGTGCCTATTAATGGATATGTCTATGTCAATTAACATTAAGATGTGAAGCTTGCAAAATCCAGCGTTCTCAGTTTTAAAATCTAATATTTAAAAAAACTATCTAATTGGATGAAATAATTATTTTCTTGGTGCATTTTTCAGAAATCTTTTATGAGTACATACATGAAATAACTTTCAAGGATGTAGAAGGAGACTCATTGTTCTGAATAGAGAAAGCCAATATCAGGATATACATGTATCATTGGGAGAACCCTTGCAGTTATGGTACTTTTTTATCATATCTGTTCCTGCATGGATTTGCTCTATTCTGTTGTTACCTATTGGCCTTACTCCCTTGGTCCTCTAGGAATCAAATCCACTTTTTCATTGTCCTTAATACATATTCACAGAAAGAGTTGTGCAATTAAGTAGTATTAATGTCAGTATTTTATGGTCTTTCTGGGAGTCCCCTTCAACTTAGCATGTCAACCTCTTCAGGTGACAATGTGCCTTGTTTTGTTTGCATACTTTAAAATTATGTTAATCCAGCCAGCTGCCTTTGAAGGCTTTTCTGCTGAAGATAGCCCTGGATGTTTGCCCTGAACATTTGGTGCACCCTCCTTGAACCCAAAGAATGCCAAGTGTGTAGGTTTCTTCTCCTTACCTATCCCTTCACTCCCCTCCCTTTCCCGTCTTCCTA